CTACCATAACCCTCACTGCGACGTCAGAATTTGGCAGAACTATTGCTGTACTTGTAGCTTATGTTATAGCATGCATAATGGCAAAACGTGTGTGCGTCTCATACAAAGAGAGGAAAGTTATGAAAGTAGATGCAAAACTTAGTGAAGGGACTAATACTTAGAGGATAAGGATGATCCTTGGCATTCACATACAGAAAACGTCAAAAACTGATTCTGAATGACATGCCGAAGAACTGACAACTAAACAATGAAATTCATGGATTCGAAGGAAAATAAAAGCGGGTATTCACTGAAATCCAAACAAAAAACCGCACTGAGCAAAACTTACTTCGGAAGCGGTTTGAGGAAATGTTGCGTGCTCATGTGGTTCGGCTGGAACCTCACCGTCCGCCTTCAAAATGAGCTATTTAATGCAACAAGAAACGCGGATAAGACTATGTAGTTCCATCAAGAAAAACTAGAGCTTACCACCCCTGGAGAGCCATTAGAGCCATCGTCAGTCAAAACCGTTGGAACATCGCATGTCTAAAATGAGATGCACAGCAAAGAATTGGAGATGTACTGTGAAAACGGGAAAACATGAGCAAAAAGTGCAAACCTCTTGACCAGCAGGTCCTGCAGAATTCTCGGCTGTTCCAGAAACCTGAGCAGGGATCTCATCGTCATGCTTAAGATAAAATATGGCACAAAATGTGGCAAGAATAAACCAAAAGTCCTTCACAAAAGTAAAAAATAATAGGTAAAAGATGTAAGTCATTAAAAATTCTCAAATTATAGAAGGTCAAATGATGAGCAAGAAATGCACAAAACCGAAAAAATGTTCTCGCGCAAACGCGGAGAAATAAACTGGCACAGTATGAAAAAAAAGAAGTCACCTCCGACAGATAATGGCCTCCCTGCGTGTTCTGAAATGGAATAGAAAAAACTAAATTATTCTGGACATCTGACGACAAATGCCTACCTCGAAAGATGCTGATGCTCCTTCAATATGTTCTGACTGAAAAAAATCTGATGATGAATGTTACATTCAAAGTGTTAGAATGAGATAAAAACCATATTATATTACTGGTATTGAAAAAACCATCAAAATCTAGGAAGCCTGAATTAGTGAAAGCACATACCTGAGCGTTTTCAGAAAAATTAGGTAATTCAGCTTGCTCTTCTGTTGGGAAGCTGGATCCACCAGCAGCGCCACCGTCCTAAAGCTCACGTGGATATTTACAATGGACTTGTTTACGCGAAATTAAAGAAGAAGAAAAGTGAGCGGAAGCTTACATCGCGTAATTGATGGTCATTGAAAAAAGGCGTTACTCACCTTAGATGGGTCAGGCACAGTCTGAGAAAGATCAGATTTGCTTTCAACTAGACCAAGCGAATCCTCATCACTCTTCAAGAAGACATAAATGACGTCAAGGGATTATTTTGAAGTAAATTACTTTACTTACCTCGGCAAAAAAGAACTGCGCCTTCGGAGGGTCGTCCTCCATGCAAGATCCTGGAATGTGAGCGATGTGTACGCAAAAAATGGAGAAAATAACAAACGGAAGAAGGGCAGCGGACCCACTCAGAACCACTTAGACGGCCTTTACGAAAAAATGAAGAGAGTTAGATCAGAAAGCTGGTATACTGGAAGAAAAATTCAAAAAATGAACACATGAGAAAGTGCCCAGATTTGACCAAAACCAGAAACACAGGCCAGGAAAACGCGACGCAGCACGCCACGCGTAACAATTTTATAATTCGTCAGTAGGTCCCCTCACGAGTGACTGCCTTCGGTAATTTCCGTTGAGATATCCACCGATCAATCTCGGTAACAAATGCTGTCTTGGGAAGTACAGTGTGACCAAATATTGCTTTAATTCGATTCGTGATCCATATTAATAGCGAACTGAGTGCAGATTTCCTTCACTCAAGGTCTTTCCTGCAAAAGTTCCATAGAAAGTGGGACGACCAAGGCCCTAGTTTATATTGTTTTTATATTCCTTGTAAACCTAATTTCCACTAAATTAAACCGTCCATCTATTTCAAAATTGCCGGCTTTGAAATTGAAGATATGCGGTTCATCTTGACTCTACGACGATTATTTTGTACGTCAAAATTGTGGCCTGTCAAAGAATTCTACAAATCAAGGTTTATCCGAGACAATCAATATCATGAGTTTTAGATATCCGAAAATTGTATTCCGATATTCACGTACGGGATTCCATTTTCCACTTGTATATACAGAGCTTGGTTTCCGATCGCCTGTGCACATGCAATAACATCATTCACTATAAGTGAAGAGTGAAGAGTAGGGCTACTCCTAAATCCGAAAGGCAATCCCGGATACTTATATTTCTTTTGAATTTTTGAGATTTGCCGCGCATACAAGCCAGATGATGGTTGTGCGCCTAAGCGATTTGGCACAGTGGCAGCGTGGCTGATTTGTACGAAACACGGCCGGAGTTCAAATCTCGCGAGCTGCTAATGATGACAAATAGTCCTCTTTATCTGAAAGATAATGACCGTACCATGATCCCTGAAGCAGTGTTTTTGTTCACATTATGACTTATTTTTCGTTTGGGATGTCACAAATATTTTGGTCAGTGAAACTGCATATATTCACATTTGCTCTGTCTCATTTTGTTTATGCTCATAGAAAAGAACAACTCCTGGAAAATAATGAATTATCAAAAATTTGTCAAACAGTGCAATCGACCAACTTGCTATTTCGCTCTTTATGCGCCACTGCGCGAGCATGGACGTGTTGCTCGTGTTTGAGGCATGCCATGTTGCTTCCTTTTGACCTCCAGTCAATCGATGATCCCGCGCACTCATGGTCAAGTGGATATAGCTTAGACTTGTAAGCTGCGTGATCCAGGTTCAGATCTGGACCTTGCTGATGATGCTATTACCTACGACGATGATCACGAACGAACACCATGTATTGATTACGATACTGACTGAAGCTGCTATTTTCTCTTTATT